TCTAGTACAATATATGTACTTTTTAGTCTTCTTTCTTTTTGCTTAGTATTCTAAGTACTGTTTCTTAATGAGTTTTCCGAGTTAACTTGGTTTTCTCTTAGCTCCGAATTTGGTCAAAATGATCTGATCTTTAGTCTTCTTTTAGACAAATACTTGCACTTCATTTCTTTATTATTTTTCTTTATTATTTTTAGTTTTTTTAGTTTTGTTATTAGAAATAACATTTTCTTTTTTTTTTTATTTTATTGATTTTGGTTTTGTTTATTTACTAATAAATAAACTAGTGCCTTAAATAATAACTGTAAAAAACCTTTTACTATCTAAAAATTTACAGATTAATAAAGAACCACTCATAACAATATTATAAATTTAAATAGAACTCTAAATCTTAGTTTTAACTAATCTTAGCATCAGTTATAATAATAAATAACTAAGAGCTAGTAAAATTAATCTTAAAAAAATTTAAATTTAATCAGTTTATACACCTTATAACAGTGTTATATATCCAAAGCTTTTTTGAACATATCTAATATCTAAACATCCAAGTGCTCTAAGTGTTCAAGCTATCTATAGACTTAAATAATTTAGAAATACAAATAAAAATTATATGATTATATTCTCTGTTTAATTCTTAAAATTTTTTATTTAAAAGATTTGAATAGGTTATCTTAATAAAATTTTGAGTAAATTCATTTTATTTTTTTGTCCAAAATGTCCAAAATCTTGTCCAAAGAACGTCCATATACAACACTGCCCTACAGTGTCATTAATTAATCTATTTTAAATACAATACTTTTTGATTTTTTAAAACAACTTCCTCATTGTGACTTGAAAGTGATCGAGATGTTGCTCAATCATTGCAATTAATTGAAGCAGTTATTACGATTAAATAGTAACGATACGCTGAAAATTCATTGTGCGAATTGCGGATTTTAAATTTTTAGCCAATCAGAGTAACTCTGTCTGCACCTCCATTTTCTTATTCGAATTCCGACTAATTAAAATTTTACCTCAGATCCATTGAGCTTGAGAACGCCCTTAGACAAAATATGCCGAAATCCGGTTTATGAGATAGTATCCTGTGATTATAAGCTATAAGCTAAGTGTCAATTCAGCTCGACGTCAACTCAAATAAGCCAAATTCACTAGCATTGTGGTTAATTTTTAATTATTATACGCATTTAATATTTGAATTTATAGAAAAGTTAGTTGTCGGAAGTCAATTTTCCACCAATTATTTTAATAATTTAAATTTAAAAACTTCATTTAGTATATTTAACCATTATTTATTTAAATTTAAAGTTGGTGGTATGATACTTGGCTTGATCTTTAAATAATCTATATAGGATTGAATATCTTCAATGGTAGTAAAAGGCCTATTAAATGAACATATATGTTAATATCATTGGTTAAATTAACAATTATATCTTTTAAGTACAACCTTATGAAATCCAAGGGATAATCTTTTTTGAGTAAATTAGCTAATACTCTTGCAGGTCCAAATAATATGTAATTATTAATTCCATTTTCCTTACAATAATTTATACTCTTATGCCATTGAACAGTGGCAGTCACTTGTCGAACTAGCAGAGAAGGTATTTCAGATACTGATTGTATCTATTACAGTAAATTAAATCTTACTAAAAGTGCTAAATAATGAAACATAATAAAAATAAAAAATGCATTTAAATACCGGATTTGCAGTAACGTTTGATATGACATCCACGATTGGCTTTTCAAATTTGATATCACTCATCGCTTTTTGCATTATATCTGCAGCTGGTCGCATTAATTTACAATGAAATGGAGCTCTTAAATGATAATGAAGAAATTTTTAGCAAATATATAAAATATAATATTGAAGGGGAGGTTTATAAATGTGACATAAGAGATCACCAGTATAATACTCACGATACAGGAAGCTCCAAAGCACGTGCTGCGATACGTTGCGACTGCAAAACTCGCGACGCATAATCCACAGCTTTACCCGTTCCGCTAATGACTGCCTACCATATAGGGCGGAAATTATATTATAATTAAAGTCCTGAAAGAACATAGTTATCAATATTTACTACAATAATTGAACTAACCTGAGAAGACTATCAATTAAATATATTAATCAGCTTATATAAATAATTTGATTATATGCTGTGAAAAATAAAATTTTTGCCATAATTTACGTACACTGTTGATATTCGCAAGCTCTACCGATTCACCCTCTGGTAAAGTAGAGCTAATTTCGTTTATTGAAGCTTGAAGTTTGTTTAAGTTATCTTCACGAACAATCAAAGCCACCATGGCTGTTTTGGTTCCTAATTGAGAAACCGTATTTGCCATGGCTTCACCGCGAAGTCTCTACAAATATATTTATATTCAGAATGTAAATTTATACCGTTAAAAAATAAATTTAATGTAAATTCTTACAACAAGTTTAATAGCGTCACGTAATGACAATGACTTAGTAGCAACCAAAGCTGTATATTCTCCTAGAGAGTGTCCAAGTGCATATGCGCACGCAGACGAGACATCAAAGCCGAATTCACTCTTTAAAAAAACAATCGATCAATTTCAACACTTATGATAGTAACTTTGAAGGTGATATCAAGCATTAATTACCTCTAAGACCTGAAGAATGGCTACGGACGTTGTTAATATCGCGGGTTGTGCATTTTGTGTTTGAGTTAGATCTTTCTAGTATTATAAAGATTGTAATTTGAAAAACACTATTATATTAACAAAAAAAAAAAAACATATTATATTAAAAATGACTAACAATGAGCTTACCTGTTGCCCTTCAAACACTAATTTTGTCAAGTTTAATCCTAGCACGTCATCAGCTTCTTCAAATACTTTGCGCGCCGAAGGATAATTAGAATAAAGATCTTTACCCATTCCAATGTACTGAGCACCTTGTCCTAAAAAAAAAAAAAAAAAAAAATTAAATAATAGTTTCAATTTATTTTGCTATAACGAAACCACTTGTATTAGCCTTAAGTGTAAGGCAGGAAACAAATTTTTTCCTAGACATTTACAATACCTGGAAACAAAATAGCGCATTGTGAATTCTCGACCCCGGATCTGCTCTAACAAACGAAGGTACCAAACACCCAAAACTTTTAAATGTTAAACGTCTTTAAAACAAAATTTACGAAGCGATTTCATGCTAATAACTCGACTAACCATCGAAGTTCGAATTTGGACTGCTTGCAAGCTTGAAGCAGTCAACTTTCGACCATAGGTCCGAAAGAAATCTAAGACGAACATCTGAATAACTTTGCGATAAACTCTGAAATAAATGCAGATCCTTTTAATTCTGGCTGAATATAACCAATAGACATGATTTTTAAAAAAACATCCTCGAAACAAGGAATTTTATATTAATCAGATGAGCGAATCTATTTGTCGCTGGCGGTGACAGTCGCCGGATTGCAATTGGCCAATTATATTACAGGATCAAGTGTAACGTTTATGTAACGCGAAAATCCAAGGGGGACCGTCCCATCATTTGTAGATCGGTTACACAATTGATAAACCATTTTTTTATATTGTTTTACAATACTTTTTCGAAAGACTTTCGTAGCCAATCTCGACTATGAAACGTGACCAAGTGTATTAAGTAAACTTGAAGTATTCGAACTGTACTGCAACATATTTCGTTAATCCCCGTTAATCCCATGCCGTTGTCTTTTAATTTACATGCAAAAATATATCTGGAATAAAGTATTGAGAAGAATGCCAAACTACTGAGTTAACTAAATTTTGTTTGTTGAAAGATGAAAAGTGGAAACTAGCTAAACTTTACGATTTGGTAAAGGTAACATAAAAAGGTGTTGTTTTATGTAATATTTGTTATATGAGCTTAGTAGGAAATCACTTAAAAAAAGGTTCTAAGTAAGTAAAAACTATTGAAAAAGAAGTCATATGTGAAGAAGAGACGAATACAAAAATTAATCTTTCTAAAGCTATCAAGATGATGGCTAAAATTCTTTATAAGAGAGAATATATAGAGAAAGAGGTTCCTATATACAATTTTGATAAAATGTGAAGGTTGTTTCAAGAAAATGAATCAAGTTTGAAAGATTTTTTTGATCAACTTTATTTAGCGGCTCAACCATTTGAACGTAATGAACAAACAATGGATTGTATAAAAAAATTAATGGTGTTCATATGCTATCTTCTTTCTTCATTAAATAATACAAAAATTAATGTATTTAAGTTTGATCTAGCATATTATTTAGATTTAGCGCGTATAAGTAATGAAGGCCTAAATACAATAGTAAATATTGGCGCATCTATAACATCAAGAGCAGTGAATCGTAAGAAAAAAAGAATTGTCTAATATATATAGAGAATATGTAGAGAGAGTTCTTGCAAAACATTCAAAGAATACTTTTGTGTTGAATATTAATGATTATTATAATATTCATGTTTTAAGAAAACCTGATTCAACTAGTACGTCTTAGGTGGCATATATAGTAATGATTATAGCAAACCTATATCCAATATTAGCAATACTATATAATAGAGAATCAATCCAAAGATCATTGATGACAGATTAATCATAAGGCATCTTGATGAAAGGTTTATTATAAATTTTGGGATTCTATATTACGATTATAATCAGTATAGTAGAGAAGAGTGTTCTGATGAAGAGCTTATAGATAGATTAATAGTATATAGTTATGACGACAGATTAGAAGAGAAAAAAAGTAGTCAGCATATACATGATGCTATCCTTTTCAATTTTGTTGAAAATGACTTGAAGGGTGTTAAAGGATACATGAAAGCTCTTCAAGTTATATACGATCAAGAGTTGATGCAAGATTATTTTTCTAATCATACAATTCTTGTTGTTGCTAATTGGCCTGATCAGTTCTTTATTTGCAAAGCTATTGCATAATAGCTTCTTGCTAATAATGAAGCTATTCCTCAATTCGTTATATCAGTTTTGTCTATGATGGGTCCTTTTTATGTATTCTTAAATTCGCGTAAACTTGTTTTTGATCATAATTAGTTTTTGTTCAATGATATCTATTAATTTATATTTGAAGAAAACAAAAATCTTGGCAAAAATTCACAAACATAGAAAATTGATTTAATTCTCTATATTATGCACATGGCATGAGTCGATATTGTAAATATTGTATACCTAAAGTTCAGTTATATGTGCAAAACTTTTGAATTTTTATATCTTAAGAATTTATTAAACAATTTAATCCTTTTAGTTCTTGACATTTATGCAGTATATTATTAGGAAGGCAATTGGCTAGCTTACGAAGAAGCTTGCATACATTGCTGGTATGATCTTTTCTTTCAGTTCGATCGAAGGAATTATAAACGTGCCCCTTTAATATTTTTCTCAGATGTTTTTTACTAGATGGCAATTAATCATCTAATATATAGTATGATCACTAATAATCTTGAATCTTTGAGTGATTGTCCTGTAGAAATTGTTTACAGTGTTATCCAATGACGTACTGCCAAATATTCTACTGCTCAACAACTACAAAAAGAAGCACATCGCATTTTTTAAAATCAAAAGGATAATTTAAACAGCAATTCATGACTTCTAAAAAATATCTATATACACCAAAGCAATTAAATACTCTTTCTTGAAAGTGTACTATACGGCTTTTGGATATGTTCACAAAAATATATCAAGCCTGTTATAAATATCTTTCAATTATTAATATTTTTTTTTTTTTTTTTTTTTTTTTTTTTTTTACTTTATACAAATACTATCAGCTGAAACTTTTATTGGTATTGATAGTGAGTAAATGTTACATATTGTGAGAGTACAACTAGCTACATATACAACTTTAGATTGTCTAATTTAAGTAGTTCACCTGAAGTTTTTACACTAGTTGCCATACCTGAAATCTATTTGAAGATTATCTATTTAAACTCTTTTGCCCTATGACACTTACCAGTATTTTATCCTTTTTTACTAAGGTTCACCTAACTCTGTGCTACTTCTCCTAGAAGATATCCGAGCTGATATTAGTCTACAAACTTTATAGTTTGGAGCCTAGACTCTATCACAAGGTATCCCTTACCAACTCTTTAACTGATGGGTGCTATAGTATCTAACTATGCTACACTATATCCTAATTTAGCTTGCATAAACCCTTGTTCGATGTTTGTACAAACCCAGTTCCTACTGTAGCCTTCTACTAAGTTAGTCATCTATGCCTCCAGATATTATACGAAGTAGATCCTCCCAAATCTGTTACTTGGTGTTGCCTGCTTTGCCACTGGATATCACATGAGATAGATCCTCCCAAATCCAGTTAGCTGCTAAGCCAGATTAGTGTTGCTATATGACCTCATGTAATAGACTTACTCACATCTGTTTCATCGATCTTTCTATACTCAGAACTTACTTGTATCTAGTTAGCTAATCTTTTTGTATGCAGATTTTCTTTTTCAGATCACATTAACTAGTATGACTGTAGAAATCCGTACTACTTTACCTAACTCAGGATTTCTACTATGCAGATCCTCTGCCTGTAGATCCTATCAAGATTTATTCGTATAATATTATGCCTCACTGAATGCCTTGTCACATTTCCAATACCTAATTTGTATTAGTATAACATGATTTACAAGATTACAACCCCAGAAACAAGCAGAGTTTTACCATAAGTTGGATACAGATATCTAGGTAATTATTCAATTCTATATACAGTAGAATTTGAACTCTAGACTTCTTACATAGTGGTCTGGCAATCTAACCACTATACTAAGATCACCAGACCTATCTTTCAATTATTAAAACTTCATCTGATAGTATTAATATATATAAATTGCCTTCTTTAGATTATGAAATAATAGATCATCAACTTCTGCAGAGATTTGTTACATATAGAAAACCCGATACAACAATTCTTTGTGATTATATATATTGCTATAGTAGCTTTTTAATTGATGGTATTATTCTTACATGCAGACATGGTTATTATAATCATTGCCTACAAAGATGTTAATTTAAATGTTTGATATATTTAGGATATCTTCAAGGCAAGATAAAAAAGAATGTTGATGCGCTTATAACAAGTTTAATGAAAGAGGAAAAAAATTTTGTCAAAGATAATAGCAAAAATATAGTTAAAAATAATTCAAAAATAGGTAAAGTTAGGTCTGGCGATCTTAGTGTAGTAGTTAGGTTGTCAGACTGCCATGCAAGAGATTTGGAGTTCAAATCCTACTGTCGACGAATTTGAATAATTATCCAGACCTTTGTATCTAACTTACAGTAAACTCTGTTCATTTCTGGGGTTGTAACCCTGTAAATCATATTGCACCAATATCATTCGGATATTGGAATTGTAACAGAATATTCAAAGAGCGTAACATTATATGAATAAATCTTAATAGGATCTACGAGCAGAGGACCTGCATAGTAGAAATCCCGAGTTAGTAAAGTAGTACAGCTTTCAACAGTTATACCAGCTAACGCTTGATTCAGAAAGAAAACTATTGTCAAAAGATGCTGATCGAGTTAGATGCATATAAATCTATTTTACAGGGAGGATCAGTAACACCAACTTGGCTTGACAGCTAACTAGATTAGGAGAATCTGCTTTGTGAAATATCTGAGAAGATAGACACAGAAAACTGGTAGAGAGCTACAGTAGGAACTGAGGTTGTACGAACATCTGCAAGGATCTAAGCTAGGTGAATCTGTAAAATAGGCATAGACCATTCTAGTAAGATTGCTTACGAGGTTAACTGGAGATCTGCGTGCTACAATATGTTAAGCAATACGCATCCTGAGAGGACCTAAGCTGAGTTAGGTAAATAGATCTGCAACGAGCTAGCTGGCTTAAGTAGTTAGGTGTTACAGTAACATTAGTTGATTCCAGTATTAGTTAGGTAAACAGAGTGTTTAAATAGATAACTCACAAGCGAGTTACAGATATAGCAGCTTGTGTAGAACCAAATAAGTGATCTACCTGTATAGCGGACTACTTAAATTAGACAATAACTAAAGTTGTATGTATAGTAGGTTGTACACTCTTCATGTAATTACAAACTGTAGAGGATTGTCAACAGACGACCTCATATATTAAACTAATAAAATCTGCTCGGCAAAGTAAGCTGCCTTTAATTAAAAAAAAAAAAAAAAAAAAAATAGATGAAGTTACAGATAATACTAAAACAGTAGAAGGTTTATTTAAATATATGACAGAATCATTTTTAAAATTGTAAAATTTTGTAAAATTTCAATTAAATATTTATTACCAATAAATAATTTATTACTT